ATTCACACCAGTGGGGGCGGGTCCTGGCTCGCAAAGGTCCATGAGCATGTGCACTGACATGCTTGCACATGCCTTTTTTTTTTGGGACCAGTCTAGTTTAGCCGCTGTAGACTTTGTTAAATGAATGGGGCTCAGACTGGCACATTCGCATGCGCAAATGTGTTTTTTCCTGCCCCGAGGCCATTTTGGAAAAGCCCCACAGAAGACAGAAGTGGTGGCACATTAGTTTCTGCCCATAGCACTCCAGCAGAAGGGCACATGTATGACTTTGGTCCTTAATGAGTCCTGTTCGGTCTTTTTAAGGAACGCAGACAAGGTCTTATCAGACGCTCTCATGGGATTGTCATCCTTAGCGAAGTGCGTCTCATGTTAGAGAGATTTCCTGACACAAAGGCGTCTGACGTCTATCTGCAAAGCTTCTTCAAGTGTTTATCCACCAGAACTGACAAAGAGCTGACTTTAATTAGCAGTGCCCCCTCCCCACTCTCACACTACTATCATCAGATTGCATAACTTCTAACTGTATTTAGTTCATGTACTGTATATTCACAGATGATTCTTTGACCCATTCAGGGATTCCATTTAAAGAAGAGAGCGCTGTCCTCTTTTATGGCAGACAATTAAAACTAAACGACAATAACGTGAATTTAGATAACATTTTGACAAATTTTTGACGTACTCGCTCACAAACTCATAATAAACCCATTTTGGTGGCTGAGTGGTTAGTACTCTCGCTTATCAAGAGGGTCCTGGGTTCGATTCCACCTCGGGCCCTTTCTAAATTCAGTTTACATGTTCTCCCCGTGTCTGGTTTTCCTTGCACATGTTCAATAGCCCCCTCTCTTTCGGGCCAGGACTACTCTAAAATAAATTGGGACTCTCCTGGTTAAATATAGGTCAATAACTGAAATCCTTGTTGCAGGTTTACCCACGTTTGCATTGCTTCTCTTTTGACAAGTTTTTCTTTTGCTCATGTCAATCAACTTGACACCCTTTAAACAGTTTTTAACTCTTTTCATTATGGTTTTGACCAATCGTACATTTTTTCATCTTCCCAGTGTTAATAATGAAGGGTTTAATTCATCATAACAGTATTCATACAACCTCTAATTAGCAGCAACACTCATACAACAATGCCAGCGTTATCTCCACATGCAAATGAGCTCTCAGTCTGTTGCGTTTGCTAATTTTATGAAACAGCAAGGCGATAACTACGCAGCCCTGTGCTAATCTTCCTCGCGTTTAACCCCAGCTTTTTCTCTTTAATCCGTCATCCATAACAAACAAACAACAAACAATAATCCTATTATTGCCTCAATGATTCTTCTGTGGACTTTTCTCAGTTTTAATCTCAATTGTGAGCAGTGGAACACAGTGACAGACAAGTGCGCAAGTTTATACATCCAGATTTGTGCTCCAGATGAACTTCATCAATACATGTCCCTTGACACAATTCTGTCAATATACTGTAACACGATGTTGCTGGAAATGAAAGGTTAATTATTTGTTGTGTTAAGCCGTATGCCACATGGGGTCTTGTATTGGATAAAATTCAATTAGAATTTGTCTAGTCAGTGCTTCTCAAACTGTAGAACAGGGGCCATGTGTCTTTTCTGTTGTTAATCTGTTGTATTTGGCTTTTCAAGATCTAATTGAGGTAATTATCTGACTTTATTTACATTCAGTCGGGACAGAGCACTGTGAAAAAATACACATCAGTTGCTAGTAGATATATCTGTCTGGTGCACACTGGGGGATGTTTGCACATTTATTCCAATGTGGTTTTGCTACAAATGGCAGATCAGAACCAGACCATTTAATTTTAAATTTGTCTTACCTCAAAATAAAAGGATTTTGACAAAAAATGTCAGTAAAAATAACATACACATCGGCCCAGTGAAGAATCACTGTCTGGATGCAAGATGTCTTCTTTTTTTTCCGATAAAAAGCTCTCAATGCGTGCTTAAATAATAATTAATGATTAAAATAATTCAATATGAAAACAGACTAGAAACAATAATGACACATACAGTATAAGGGGATGAGATCTGGACTGTTGTCTTTGACATCACCGTTGCTCACATGTTTTTTACCTGTTGCATAAAAGCTGCTGGGGCTGTGTTCAGAGAACCTTGTGGGTGATGACTAAAGTGGGTCAGAGCAGACAATACAGGGTTAGGGTGCTTGTGTCAGGGGTGAGGTGTTTTAGAAACTGATGGGGGCTGATGGGGGAGGGATTATCTAATAAATTGAGCTCCATCCTCTGGTCTTCGACAGAGCCTACACACCCTCCTCCTAAAGATGTAATGGCATCTAATAATTAGCATAATGTCCCAACTTGTCTGCTCCTTTTAGCTGTCACACCGAATTTGTCTGAACTTGGCCAATTACAACAGTGACATTGGGGCAGGAGGAGCACAGGGAAACAATGGGGGTGAAAGGAATCCCACATTCCTTTGGCTGTCCTCATAATAGAAGAGTAATGCACGGCTGATCAGCACACCTGACAATAAAAGGACCCTAGGAGCAGGTGCTGGGGCCCACAGAGGCATCGTCTTTGTTGAGTCTTATTATATAGGCAAAAATGATGAAGGTCGTTTTTTCAGAGACATATTTGGCTGTACACAACATCTCTATAACCCAACAGATTGGATGAGATTTCTGTTTACAGAGTGCCTATGACTAATTCTTTCTGATAATAACTTCTGTTGTGCCTACACTTTCCACACCTGTCTATTCATAATGGTGCAATTCTGTGGCCCATCATTTCAGAGTGATTGCCTGTCCCCATTCTCTTGCAGCCTAACTGTATCTTAAACCTCCATAATAAATGTGATGACTGGGCTATATTTCACTGGTGTCCTGTTTACAAGGAAGACAAGTGACTTGTCAGAGGACTAAATAAACCTGCGTGGGACGTGTCAGGTGCCTGAGCTTCTCGATTCGTCAGACTGTTTTAATACATCTCCATATGATTCCTGGCCCCTCTCGCCATACATCCAAGTCTCTGCAGCCTTATATATAATGTATCTGAACAGAAAAGAAATGGAGGTGACAGAGTCAGTAGTTACTATGATCAAATATCATAGCTGGAGGCTAACTGGGCATCAGGGCCCACTGACAGACACAATCCACAGGGAATGAAGAGAGAACAGGGTGTGTGTGGAGCTAAAGGATGGCTGTGCACTGGGATAAATCACCATTGCTGAGGCTAATCTTTCAGGGTCTGGCAGGATAAATACTTTGCTTGTAGATCCAACACGCTGCAGTCTCTGCCACTCATTGGGCACGCTCGGTAGGCTCAAGGCCTCTGTCCCACCTTAAATTATGCTTCATTCTCACCTATTTCATTCAGTCGTTCAGCTTAGAGTCTGAAGAATGCACTAACTTACTGAAGAGTGGATATTAAAGTGTATTTCCTCGACTGAAACAGGCCATAGAATCTCTTACTAGTTACCAAAGCAGATAATCAATATGCTGTAACTAAGCATGCTCTATCTAATCCAAGAAACTCTGGCTTGAATAAACTAAAAGATAATTAGAGAATTAAATAATAGCTGGTGCTGACTTCCTTGTTGCATTGACACTCTTCAGTGAACAAGTAGTAGAAATAAATAAAATTAGATATATTTTGTTGCTCCTATACTGACAGAAGCGTTTTCTCATTTTGAGGACACTTGACTGTATTGTTCAAACTGCTGTATTTCAAACAGACTGCGTTTTGAGCATTTTATATGTCCCTGGCTTCTCCTCTTTCATCTGTGCGCTGCTGAGGTAAAGACTGGTTTCCTCGGTCCTCTCCAATTGGCTCTTGCTCTAAACAGACCCTGTCAGTAACACTGGAGGTGCTCCTGATTGAAACAAACGGCTGCTGATTGCTGATCAGCCAGCTGTAAAGCATGGCAAGGATACGAGCAAATGAAAAAAATGAAGCTGATTTGTGAGACGAGAGGCGTTGCTCACCCCTCTGTCCCCTCCTGGCCCCCACTGTTTTACCCCCTGCCCATCCTCAAGTGTCCTCAATGTCCCACAGGGGCCTACAGGTGCAGAGGCTTGATACTGTATCAATGCTATTTCATTGTATTGTTCTTTCAAGAAACTATATCCACAAACCATTGTATCCAGTTTTTATAACAAAATATATAATGATATAATATTATATATCATATCAATATTTGTATATAATATTATTTAATAATCATGAAAAACGTACACACCAGTCTCCTTCTAGGCAATGTAGGTAAAATGTCTTGACCATGTCACAATGGCAGTCTGGTACTGTTCTTTACAGCCGCAACCGCCCCACTGTGGCACCTGGTGTTCCCAGAGGTCTCCCATCATAGTACTAACCAGGCACTGCCCTGCTTAGCTCCAGAGGTCTGACTGAATTTATGTAACGTAAACAGCAGAGAGTGTAGATGTAGGTTTCAGAAACAGACTGTAGTAAACTACTGAAGCTGTGGGTGAAGGTCCTGTGTGTGACCTCCACATTCAAACACGCTCAGAGCAGCACTCTCTGACCTCTTCTTGTTCGTTCTTTGTTAAAATGGGCAACAATGGCCACAGGCAACGCAGTAGAATATAAAATTGGAGCAAACACAAGAACAAAACACATATTTGCACACCAAATGCAAAAAACAATACAATCTTTGTGACCCATTGTACACAGAATTAGCCCCAGAACCAGCAGACCTGCATTACAGTGCTGCACAGAGACAAATTAATTGGCGGTCATTATAAGCATAAAAAATGAGGAAGAAACGACTGAAGACTCATTTTCAGTCCTCCTTAGCCTTCTTTTCTATTTGACAGGCGCAGTAAATTAAGAAAGTGGTGATATTTAATACCTTTTAACCTCCCTGAGACAGTTTTCTGATCAATTACTAGAGCAGCCTGTAATTGTTAGGCTGGATAATGATTCCACATGTGAGAGAGCAGCATAAGATGAAGGCATGGGTGCAATTACTTGAAAGCGCTCAGTGCTCAGTGTGGAGTGGACTATGGCCACGGGGAGAGAGGCACGACACAGGCCCACTGCAGGGATGCTGCTGATCCAGCGTATGACAGCAGCACACCGCATCCTGGACAAGGTTTGCTCAAATAAATAAAAATGTTTTATTATTATATGAGTAGATACACACAAAATCACCAATTGCTTTCACATTTTCAAAGTTTTTAAATACATAAAAATCATCGAAACTTATGGCTTATGATTATGACTTCAACAACTTAAAGAACATACAATTGTTGTATGCCATAGTTTTGAGGATTTACTTATTTATTTATTGACTTTTTATCAACCAGAAAGTCCCACTGAGGTTTCAGAATGTCTTTTCAGAAGATTCCTGGCCCCAGAGAGATGAGCTATTGTACATGTTTTTAGTGGGAGGGGTAACCGGAGCACCCAGAGGAAACATACGCAGACACAGTGAACATACAAACTCTACTCTTGCCTCGAGGTGAGAATACTAACCACTCAGCCAGTTCTAAGATCTTTTTTACCAGCTTAATTTCACTTTAATGCCTTTTGTATGAACAGGGACTTATTACTTATTGGCTTCTATGGTCAACCATAAATATATTTGGAACGTTTTGGAATGTAACATATTTTTCATTATGCAGAAGAAAGTCTAGAAAAAAACTATTGTTGAGGTGTAGGTGCAGGAAAATACTGTGCAGAGTTAAAACAGGAGTTTGCAGCTGAATCTAAGATTAGAATTCAAGTGTACGTCTTACTCTGCCATTAGTATGCTTTGTGTATGTTTCATGAATCCACAGCTTATGTCTATCTGTGTTTACTTTCGCTACAACGCTTTATCGTGGCATTATGAATATTCTCTTCAGATTATGCAGCTCTAGACCCCTGACCCGAGAGGGAACAGAGAGCTTTACAGTCCGCAGCTGACGGTTTGTGTTGTGACTGAGATAATGCTGATTATTCATGATCAGCACCGACAAAGTAGTGCTACAGTAAACCGTTCACACTGTAAAGCCAATGTTTTTGTTGTTTGATTAAAATGGGGAGATGTAATATTCCTGGTAACGTTAGCAACACAGGTAACAACATTGTGACTATAGTAAACAAGGAAAAATGCTGCACAAAAGGGTCATAAAAATCACGAAAACAATGCAGATTTTGGACCACAGCTACGTTTCATGCTTCCCTGCTGCATCAAAATAACTACTGAATTGATCCTATATATTGGCGCTTAATCTTTAACTTTTGACAAACACATATCACTTAACGTTTAGTATGTGACAAGGTTAACAACCTTGTTCTAAAATAGCATACTTATTTATTTGTGACGTTAAAATCCCACTTGTAACTTGTACATTTTTAACCAGGATGAATGAATAACTTAGAAGAATGACAAACCACTTCGAACCTGATTGCAAGAAATAGAAACTACAGATATTTGGGTTTAAAAGTAAGAAGTAAAAGCGTTTTCTGTTGTAGTAAAGATACTAAAAAACAAATATTTGAGTACAGTACTTGAGAGTATGCGACCCAAAAACCATTACAGTCATGTGTTGTTGTTTTTAATCTTTGAAAATCACACAGATATTTCCCTTCCCATGACCACCCTTGAGGTTGATTCAGATTACAAACATTCAGTAACAAAAAGCACAATGGAATTTTTTATTTTTTTTCTCCCCAATTTTGTAACAGTTGGCGGCGTTGTCTGGTGCGGTGACCCGGCGATCGCAGCAGGCATAGCGGAGTGGCGTGGCCTGACCTCCTGTCTGTGTGCAGCCGGAGCAGAGAGAGGAGAGAGTGGAGACAGGCAGAAAAGGACGCAGCACAAGCAAGCCCACAGTGAACCTGGCCAGCGTCAAATATGGTCCGGCCATCTGTCTTTTTTACACAAATAAGTAAACAACCATACCCTGTCAATAGTGTGAGCGCTGTCTATGTGCATGGATTCATTTACAGCCACGAAAAGACCAAATGAGGGGGTTGAATGTCATAACCTAATGCAAATGTCGATTATTGTTGTTTCTATGTATATTTTTTAAAAAGCACACAAGTCTAAAAGGTCGTTTCTTGCTATTTGCATTTGTTTGTGATCCGGTCGCGTAACCAGGTGGTCTTAGTTTTAGCAGAACATATTCATCTCTCTTTTTTAATATGTTCTTGGAGTTAAAATAATAGTTTTTAATCATGTGCGTGACTTTTGCAGAACAGTGAGGTCTTGTGCATAACTTCAGATGAAATGTAGGTCATTTTTAGGTGCAGTGAAATTATGGTTCAACACGTTATTTTGCAATAAGCGTAAACTTGTGGAAGGCTGGGATCATCAGGGCAGCCGTTTTGTTTTTGTACAGATTGTTTTTGTGTTTTGTTGTCCTGGACTTGTGTAGTATTAGAGCGCATACCCCTGCCTAGAGGCGCAGTTCCGGTCCTCGGAACTATGTCATTGACTGACAATGACATATTTGTCTGAGACCCTCTATTCAACTGGGGTTTACAGGACAATAAAAATAGCTAGAAACAAATGTATTTTTGCTGATGAAAGTAGACAATCCAGTCTTTCAGAATCTGGTTTCATATTTCACATAGTCTTAGGAAGTAATATTCTGTGGGTCTTGAGAATCAGTGAAATCATCAAAAACGGCTGGCAGTCAATGAGTTAAAGAGTTGCTCACAGACAAACAAACAAACGCAGCTGATCATAGAAGATAATATTGATAACCGGAATTAATTACAAGAAATACATACCATAATGCTTCTAACCAAAATATATGTGTAGAGTTTATCATTCAATACATTCATTTTGCCTAATTGTTGAATTTGGGCAGATATTTGCGTTTGTTTCCAAAATTCTGGAATAATACAGTGTGATATGGAACAGAAAAAACCCATTATTATTAACAATACACATGTTTTTGTCTACTCTAAGTGGCTCCACATGATTTTTACAAATAAATAAACTGCCATCATGAATAAAAATCAGTTAGCAGTGAAATGGTGTTTAGTATAACTCCTTCAAAGTCATGCATCACAATGACTCAAATTGGACTCTTCAGCTTTAGTGATGATTTACCCGTGCAGCGATGGAGATGATGCACACAACAGATGTTTTAGACTTTCTGACCATTTATTTGTGGAGCGGCAAAAGCGCATGAGGAGGGGGCAGGAGGGGCAGGAGGGGGGGGTGGGGGGGGGGAATTAGGATTTATGGAGTGAATCTGCAGAGTTGCAAAGGCGACCGCTGATCCCTCCTGTACGACGTGTCTTTGTCTGCCAGGTGAGGAATAACGGAATGCGCCATGTTGACAAGGGCAAGGACAAGCAGAGCCGTGTGCGAGCGTTTGCCTCAATGAACTCACTCAAACACGCGTTTACACGAGATCAGTGGACGGTGATCTCAGACGTAAACATACAGTTAAAGGCTACAGTTAAACGATTTTCTTTTGTTAGCTAAATATTCCGTCATGTACTCAAAGTTGTACATGACGTCAATGTTTGGGCGAGTCAGAAAGAGGAGTTGGCGTCATCTCGATCTTGAGGGGAGCTAAAAAATTGTGAATTATTTTCTCATGACAAAAATAATCTCAGTCTTGGGGGGAACTAAAAAAAATGTGATTTATTTTCTCGTAAAAGAAATTATTCTATTTTAAAATGATCTCATTGGTGCCAAATTCAGGCACAGAATTACTTATATCTTCATGCTTGTTTAAAAAGTCCTCTCTCTTTTATGGGAAGGCAGGTTTATTTGTAGAGCACAGTTCATATACAAGGCAACTCAACGTGCTTTACAAAACGAGAAAGGAAACCTTCAAATCACAGATAAAACATATTTTAAAACAGTAAATCAGATTTTTGCTGAGAGAGTGTGAACACAATCCTTGAGTTGTATGCACAGCTAAACATACCAGTTTTTTACCTGAATTTTAACATTCTCAGAGAAAATGTGAGACAAGCTTCTTCTCTGACAATGTTTTCCCCCATGTTTGTTCTCGGATCCTTTACTTACGTGGTGAATTTAAAGTATAAAAGAAGCGTTTTTCCCCCTTTATTCTCCTTGTAAATGGAAATCTCTGCCTAAAGATGTAAATAAAATAAATCTTGTTGTAAATAAATCTTGTTTTTTTATGTACAAAATTGTATGAACTATACTGCTGCAGATATATCTTCATCTCCTCCTCCATCCTTAACCTGTGTACAGTATTTCTATAGTTTCATATTTGCCATGTGTATGAACTGATGATTATAGGCAGTGCAGCAGTGAGTGAAAGTGTTTATATGGCTTATGCCTGGTCGGTCCAGGGCGTGTAATTCTCACAAGGCTCATAGTTGTCTCTGAGGTTTCAAAGCATGACACTAACATATGACGAGAATAATTATATAGTTAAACATGTTTGGCAGAAGCAGCAAAGTCCACTGATAACTGCGCCCCAGCCTCCATCTGCACCTTGTGACTCATGGTGTCACTCTTGAGGATTTGGCAGGATCCCTCCGGCCACATTCCAGCTCCAACAGTCAGTGTTTAATGAAACTCACAGTTCTTCTGATGCAAATGTGCTACTTTTGCTCAAGTATTTCACTGTGTGGCCAAGTCTGATGGCATCACATGCTCCAAAGTACCTCGGCTAAACTCCTAATAGCTGCTCTACCAGATGACTCACATTTGTATTGCTCTTTCTGCCTCTGAGCCTCTGGCCTGGAGCCTGGAGCTTGCCAAAGGTCATTAAATTGGTTATTTACTGTAAACAGCACCATAATCCTGTCAAAACCCCTCGTCGTTCTCTCCGTACAGCTTTAGCCAAGAGAGGCGCGAGTGTTAAATGGCCATTCAAGTGGCGTTATCTGGATTTCTCTCTCTCCCTTTCGCGATGGATGTGGAGCGGGGTTTGTTTGTCTAAATGTTAGCACTTTGGAAGAGCTCCGCAGCTGTGGGCGCCCATTGGAGGTTTTAGCACACACACACATACGCACATACACACGCACACACACACACACATGCAGTCAGGGATCGCACTGCTCAGTCACACTCTGACAGGCAGCCATGTTGGGGCTGGCAGCTCAACAACACAAAGCTTTTATCTGTCAGTGGTCAAGCCTGACTGAACCCCCGCTACATTATAGGCACTCACTTACACACACAGCCCAAAAACACACACACACACACTTTGAAAAACTGCCATTTCGATTTTTTTCCTTCTTAAAACCTGGCTCAAATCTGCTCTTTTGCGGAAATTAGCCATCTGTGCTGCCTGTGAGTGACAGAATGTTCATATCAATCGTTCCAGGAGATGATGAGCACCCCGTCTGCACCGGCGACACCCACTCATGCACACACACACACATACTGACACGTATCCAGGAGCAAGCCATTTGTGAATTTGTTTTCCGCTATGGATAATGACACCGAGTGAACCTTCGCTTTTGAAACACATTCATTTTGTAAGCATGAACAAATAATATTGAGTATCTGAAAGAGAAACAAATAAAAACAACCTCCAGATTGATCCAGGACAAAAGATGGCAGCTGCTTAATGAATCTTAGTTAACACCATTAGATTGAACGATGAGTGCTGTCCGAATATGCCTTCCTGTCTATGCTTTTTTTCCTTCTTCCTCTCCCTCTTTTTTTCCGCTTGAATTTCGACGAATGGCTGTCATCAGCAAAGCGCATCTCATTAGCGGCGATGATGCTCCGTATGTTGATCATCATCATCTGTGAGTGGACTGATGAGCGATGAATGTCAGGCGTAATGGAGGCGACAACGCGGCGTCCCGTAAACCCACAGCCGACACACTCACATGCTAATTACTCAGTATAGCACCGTTATACCACACAGAAAAAAAGGAAAAAATAGATGGCATCATTTGGAGACGGCAATCATAATGAAGCAAATCAGGTGCAGGGGTCCACTAAATGCAAGCTGTGTGCAGAATCAGTGCCCCGAAATCAGTGTATTTTTATTTTTACACCAAAAAAGTTGTAATCAAGTATGAGTAAAGTCGAATTGATAACTATCTTTTGTAAACAAGTTCATGGAACCAATAATGCTAATTAGAATAAATATGTACATCACATATCCTAAAGAAATGCATGGGCCATGGTTTGGGGAGGTCCTTTATAACAAAGTGTTGATGATCAATGTGTCCTGCAATTCTTAAAAGTTAAGATAAGATAAGAACAACTTTATTGATCTCACAATGGGGGAATGTACAGGTCAAATTTGGCATAGATAGAATCACTCAGATTGAGCAAAAAGACAGAAATGTGCAACATGTTAAGGTTAAAGTAAAAAATATAGTCAGTGCAGGATGATATGTACAATAAAAAGTGGCAATAGCAGTGCTGGTTCTCACATCTACAGTGACCAAAATGATCCTCCCAAAACTGAGGTTGGAATCCACCAGTAACAAAAGCCCCCCTCCTCCAGCCTGAATTGTGGAGACATTACTCTCCCCGTAGGGTGCCAGGTTGGAGGTAGTTCTGAGGGTTTGGGATGGGCCCGGACCCGGAGTAGTGTAGAACCGCCTGTGTAGCCCTGTGCCCCACTGAGGCCAAGCACTGCTGTCGCCCTCTTGCCACCTGCTGCCTTGCTCTGCGGGTGTGAGGAGAAAGGGCCAGGCTTGCACCCGTCTCCAACCCTCCCAGAACTGGAATAAGGGGGGAGAAGCATAGCCGCCTCTTGTTCACTCCAGGCGCGCAGCAAAAATCTGCTGATGTGCCAAAATCAGATATGAGGCCTTAATGTCATGAATTATATAATAAATATCATCTTTAGAGTGTATTCCCTAACACACTGTATCTTGTGTGATCTTCAAATTTAAGTTCTTTCCATAAAAGCTCTAAATGACTTGTAGTTTTAATTCTCACTCTTAAGTTCTCCTGTGATAGTCAAATTTAATACCCTTTCATTGACACACACAGAATCAGAGCTTATTCCTGCTCACAGCTTTTTCTCACATGTAAAATGTGAATTATTGACAGGATCACAACACCACAAGAATTCTTTGTCTTCACGCCACTCTGAGGGTTCTGCTGATACACCAGTCTGGAGACTCTATGAGGTCAGTCTGAGTTCTGCAACTGGAGAATAACTGGCCCAAATAACACTTTTCTCTCAAGAGCAGTCAAAGAAAAATGTGGAAATTATTAGTCAGCTAATTGTGATAGGCCCACTATTAAAGGAGCACTTTTACACCACAAAAGAATCCATATAACTAGTGTATTTTTAGCCTCTTTAGATCAGCTTGGAAAAGACTGTACCAGCCCTTACGCTAATAAACTCTCAGTATGTAAAAGATGCCATTTCTGGACGTAAAATTATATGACAACTTTAATTGTACTGATTTTTTTTTTTTCACAATTTGATGAAGAATCTGAAAATCCAAATTTGATTATGATTCCTCCTTAAATAGCTCTAATGAAAACATGTCGTCTGCTTAGTCTTTTCTTCTGTTGCTTTGTCTATCCAAAGTCTCGTATTTGTTCAGGAAAAAGAACAAGTCTGCAGCTTCGTTCCAGTTTGCAGAGATTTATGAGCGGACCAAAGCCGAGAGTCTAAGAGTGTGTGCTCAGAGAGAGTTTGGGAGAGTGGAGATTTACGACACAGCGTTTGGGTCATAATTCAAAGTTCACACTCACATACATCACATTTGGAATCACATAGATTATAGGGGAGAACAGATTTATCATACACACAGGTACTGCACATGTGCTGCCTCCAAGAGCAACGACAAACAGCTCACAAACTTCTACACCAGATGCTTTCATTTCAACACAAGAGGGAGGAAATTAAACAGGGAGAAGTTCGTGTTCGCAATAATGTAAGACACAACTGTTGGGCCTTTTTAAATCGTGAAGGTAAGTCTGAGATGTGTAATGTATTTCTGTGTATGTTTTTTTGGAGCACAGTTATCAACATTTCTAACTTTTCTGTATTTTCTTATTGATATTGGACGTTTTTTATTAGTCCAAAATATATTTCTATAAGGTGTCCTGAGCAGCATAATAAAAGTCCTTGCATGTTCTGGTTGGTGAAATATAGGATTCATTTGCATACATCAAAAATGTGTACCAATGAGATTGTTAGGGAACTATATCTTGCAATATTGCTTACTTTCCCCCGTACTCCCTGTAAGCATTGAAAAGCATCCATGCAAAAAGTATGTATACAATAGTTTTTGAATTTCAAGGTTCTTTGAAAATGATTTTGATTATGCAAATGACTCAACATCATATGCCCAAACATTTGTGTTGAGTTAATGTGTACGGTAAAATAATGTAAATACAGTACAATTTACAATACAAGCCTATTCAAGTCCATCCATCCATCCAATTTCTTCCCCTTAATCCATTTCTGGGTCGGGGGGGTGGCAGTCAGAGCTACATCCGGTACACAAAGCACCAGCCCCTCACTGATCCTCTTGCAGGTGGTGTCTTGCCCAAGGACACAACGACAGCAGCCATCAGTGGGAGTCGTGAAGTTGGTCTTATGTCGCCCCGGCCTATTCAAGTATCTGGCAATATTTACAAACTATTTGAAAATTAAACCAATTTGTCCAACCTGGATTTGTTAGGACATTAAAATGTTCTGGACACGTCTTATGAGGGCATTGAAGAAATGAACAGTGTTCCAAAAATCAGGTCGTTTGCCTGGACCATATATTGTACATATTATTTATATATGTATGTTTCTTTGATGTATTGAATTTTTAATCTGTAGCAATTTGAGATTTCTTTTTAAATGTAATTTGTATTATGAATTAACTGTACGTGTATTATTTTAGAAACATGGTTCAAAGCGGAGTGAAAAGTCTCAAAACTGCTGCCTGAATAATAGGCATATAACTGCACAAGGCTAAAGAATCCTTTGCTAAATGGATCTATTTTTCTCTGTCTGGTTATGTGACCATCATGCCTTTAACCCGGTGAAAAGGTAGCAGCTCTATGTTTCTTCCAGCACAGTAAGAGCTCCTTTACAAGTCTTTCTGAATGTAAACTTTACTTCTCCACTTTCTATGATTTACTGTGTGGAGTGCGCTAAATGTTTCATGTGCCACGGAGGCCACTCGGCTGAATCCGGTCAGCTCTGGACTCACAAAGCCATCTATTTCTGCTGTGTTTGTTAAATATTAACCACACGATCCCGCTGCCTCATCCACCGAGCAGAGGTGTGTGTTTGGAGATATACAGGGTGACCTTTCTATTTGTGCATCAAGTGTTCTATCAGAGTCGTTTAGTGCAGGTAATGCTCAAGGGTTACATACTGTCGGAATTGAATAAAATGTGGCAGCTATCTACAACATGAACTATTTCACATACGCACCTGAATTGCCCCGAGTTCCTTTTTCTTGTCTGCAAAGTGTCTGGACTTCATCTACGGAAACCATGGTTACGTAATTAACATGGTGATGCAGAGCTTTGAAATGTGTGATTCCAGATCTTGAAGCATATTTGGTACAGAGTTGTGACCTTCAGTGATAAAACTGTGTATATTCTTGATCCAAATGAAAAAAAGAAAAAGAAAACCAGCAATAAAACAGGGTACTACAATATGATATCCATCCATCCATCCATTTTCTTCCCCTTAATCCATTTCTGGGTCGGGAGGGTGGCAGTAAGAGCTGCACCCAGTACACATAGCACCAGCCCCTCACTGATCCTCCTGCAGGTGGTGAGTCCACAGGAGCCCTGATTATTCAGCGGGGGCTTCAGGCAAAGTGGGGTTAAGTGTCTTGCCCAAGGACACAACGACAGCAGTCATCAGTGGGAGTCGTGAAGTAGGTCTTGTGGTGGGTTTGACCCCCACGACCTTCAGGCTCAAAGGCCAATGCTCTACCAACTGAGCCACTGTCGCCCCCCAATGTGATATTAACCATGTTGTTGTGATATTAACCATGTAAAATAGATCCTATTGAGGCACGGGCAGCAGATGCATTTAGGAGCACAGGGAAGAGATTATTTGCTGAGGGGAGTATTGTTTTTTTGGACTAGCCTATTTAATCCACTGTGGACTTTTCAATCAGGCTCGTGCCATCTAACGCATCCGCAAATGCTACAACTTCCGTTCCGAAAGCAGCTCTTGCCAACTGACGGAATGCAGATTTTTTTTTTTTCAAAATGTTCCTGTGGGAGGGGCTACTTAAAGCAATTTTGAAAAGGTCCATGTTGATCACACATACACATTTCAACGGAGGAATTAGGCGTCACTACGTTCGTTAATATCTATTGTGTATGGTCTTTCCTTTTGGCTGCTGTCTATGTGCAATTAATACAAAAAAATACTTGTTTGTGTGTTCTTAAATGTACACACATTTTTTTGAGAGTCTCCTACATTACTGCGGGTGAAAAGGCTATCTGCTTTTACCTTAAATGCACAGTAATTATGAGAAAACTATGAATGGATTTTCTAACCTGTGACATGTAAATACTGATTAATACTGAGACACAATCCGATCTCTCTCAACAGAAAACAGAACACGTTCCCTTTAGCGCAGGTAGGAGAAACCCTGATAGTGATGATGCAACATTACTTTTAATTTCTATTTTCTCCCAACTTTTCCCTGGCCTGGGCACAACAATTAATGAGAGTGTTTTGTTTTCTGGGGGCTCAGTTCTTGTAAAAGTCACCGTGATGAAGCTCTTGTTTTTTATCTTGACCTTGTTGGAGCCTCCATCACCCTTCCAAATTAATATTCAAAAGGCTTTAATTAAAAACCCGCCTTGCCCCGTCCTCCTCTGGAGCAGTATAAACAAATGTGGGGCTGTGTTTGTTCCCTTCTGGCCCATCCTATACTTGCTTTTAATGACTCCACTTCACTTCAACCCCCTGAAAAAGCAGGGAGATGGCACGATGCGGCAAAAAGTGACACCAAAAGATGAAGACAAGACGTAGCTGGGGGTGAATGAGGAGCAGAGTGGTGGCAAATGGGGTGCACTGTATCTCCGAGTCGTGGTTAATTACAAAAAGCATTAATGTTTTATTAACCCCTTATCAGTAATTAATCACAGGTCTTTGATGTAAAGTTCAGCTTACAAAAGCAGCAGAAAAAAGGGCCCTCTCATCCATATTAGCCCATTAAGGCGGCTGCTACGGACCAGTCTCGCTAACTGCAGAGTGCAGGACAGCCTCTGCAGGCATTAAAGCATTTGTTTTGACAGCGCTGTTTGTTTTCTACTCCCAGAAGCCATTGCAGTGCACCTCCAACTCCCACTAGTCTCTCACCAAAAGAGCCAGTTTGCATTTCAAATATGATAGAGCAATCGCGTATTGTGCACAAAATCCTATCCCTTCAGTGTTTCTCAACATTCTGTATATGTTTTTCTCCAGGGCCAGACAAAATTATTTTCCCATTACTCAGTACATAGTTGCCACAGACTCTTTGCATCCATACTGTACATACAACTGCTACAAATCCCACTGGGCTTTCACGGACTAGAGAGTAAGCGCCAACATGCCAGAGGAAAGTGGAAACCCAAGAAACAGAGGGTCATTCAGGGTCAGTCGTCCTCAAGGCATAAACTACACATCTTTGGTGATACAAATAATGTGTGGTACGCTTGGTTTTCTTTAAACAATAAAGTCAAAGTGGATTCATATTGCTTTCTGAGCTGTCCATAAACTGAATTTGCACAAAACAAAAGCAAGCATATGACAACCAAAATAAAGTATAACATGGCTCTTAAAAGTCAAATTAGATTACACTTAAGTTTATAATGTTTTGACTATTGTTAACTCAAAGCTTCCTGTCCGTCATGTCAAAAGATGAAGTGTCTCCCTTGTCTCTCAGGGTGCAGCGTGGGTCATCCAAGGGTCAGGGGTGAGCGAGAGGCCGGCGGACATCAGGGGTAATCATGAGGTCAGGAGACTCTGTGAACAGTGGAAGTTTGTACTTGTATGTTCCCCTGTTGAGTCCAGGAGGGTGCTGGGAGTCCATCTCAGGCAAACAGCAGGGTCACTATACGTACACTATGACTGCAGGGGTCAGGCAGTGGTCACTCCCAGTTTAAGGAACTTGTTGAATGCGAAATGCTCACACAACACGTTGATGGATTGACAGCTCTTTGCAACACAATGATCCTGACGACATGCGAGTTCTCCTCCCCCCATACTTTGACTAGCTTCCCACATAAACTCGTAGATCGTGCACAAAAGTACGGCAGCGCACCGGAGGCCATGTAACCACGGATGATGCTTTTGTTGTTATTGTTCCTGCCTGTGTTGATTAAATTAGGAAATCCTTTAAGTGTGCAGAAAAGGCAGAGGAGCATTGTTTTATTATTAAAGAGCGAAGAGACATCTAGCTTAATGAGAAGTACAGCAGAGTGCTTCAGGACTTGGAGATTTCAATAACATGGCACTCCCCCCTGTGATGAGCACAATACATTGCACCCCCCTCCCTCTCCTTGTTTTCCTCGCTGGTAGTGGCAGAGAAGACTGCTGAGATAAATGTACTTTAACGGCCTTTAGCTCCTGTGTTTTTTTTTTTAGATAGTTCAAATCAAGTGTGCAACTGGCTACTAACAATTGGCTTCAAAATATTTTTTCAGTCAAAGAAGAAGAAAGGCAAGGAAGAAAATGATTGTTGGCCTTTTGTGTGTGATAAGAATCATATTGAAATGAC